AGCTCCATGGGATTTTCACCACTTTGGTCCCCTGAAAGCAGCCATTGCAGGATGAAGATTCTCCTCTGATGAAGAAGTAAAGACAGCAGTGTATTTGTGGCTCACAGCGCAGTCTAAACATTTTTTAATAAGGAAATACAAAAGTTTGTTGACAGATGGAAAAGCAAGGAGATTGTGTTGAAAAATGATATATTTGTCCTTTCTAAAAGTTGATTGAAATAAATTGTACAACCAGAGTGCAGGTAATTTTGATTCACCCTCATATGTAGAAGTATCTTTTGCCAAAATGGAGTCCTGGTGTGGTGCTGTAGATTCATGAACTGAACTGCAAAGTCGGCTTGAACCACAAGGTTGGCAGTTCAAGCTCACCAGCTGCTCCTCAGAAATCCTGCACAGGGTTGCTATGGGTCGGAACCAACTCAAAGACTCTTAATAACAGCAGCAGCAGTATGCATATATATACACATGTGTCAGAACTGACTCCATGATACTTAAAAACATAGGAGTCCTGGTGTGGCCCTGTGAGTTACCGCGCTGGACTGCAAGGTCGCTGCTTTGAACTGCTACAGTTCAAGCTCACCAGCCACTCCTCGGAAACCCTACACAGGACCACTATGAGTGGGTACTGACTCAACAGCACGTAGCAACAATGGTATGTATATATTCTCATGGAAAGGAGACCTGGTAGAATAGTGGGGTATGAGTTGGACTGGTAACTGCAAGGTCAGTAGTTCAATTCTACCAGCTTCTCTGCTGGAGAAAGATGAGGCCTTCTGCTCCTATTCAGGGTCACTATGAGTCAGAACCAACTCAGCAATACCCAACCACCGCCATATTCTCAAAGATGTACTTCTACATAGCATTCTACATCTGTTCACCTTTCGTTATCTATGTTACTGTTTATTTACTGTTATTGCAGGATCATGTATGTAGTAGTATTAACCACTGTTCCCTTTTATTCTTGTGCCCCTCCCAGTGTCTTCCTTTGCCTTGGTCATTTCATGCTGACCCCCTTATTGTATACTACTTTCCCCTTCACCCAAGTTAATACATGTCTACTATTCTAGTTACTAATCTTCCTTCCTCCCTAACGGCTTCCTACCCCCAGTCCTTAGTAACCATCAAAGAATGTTTCTGTGTGTAAACCTTGTCTTGACTTTTTAAAGTAGTGGTCCTGTACAATATCTGTCCTTTTGTGATTGGAATACTGCCCTCAGCATAGTGTCCTCCAAGTTCACCCATGTTAAAAGAAGTTTCAGGTTTGCTAATTATTTAATGTTGCATAATACTCTATTATGTGTATGTACCTTAGTTTATCCATTTATCTAAAATTGGGCACTTAGGTTATTTCCATTTTTTATTATTGTGTAGTGCTGTGATGAATACGCATGTGCATGTATTTATTCTTGTCACAAGTGTTACTTCTCTAGAATATATAGCTAGTAGTAAAATTGCTGGATAATACGGTATCGCTATTTCTAATTTTTAAGGAAGCATTATACTATTTTCCACATTGGGTGTACCATTTCATAGTCTCACCAGAAATGCATGAGAGTTCTAATCTTTCTACACTGTCACCAACATTTGTTGTTTACTATTTCTTTATCATTTCTAGGGTAAAATGATGTATCATTCCAACAATAATTCTTAATAGAATTGTTTTGTGAAACAACTTAAGGTTATTTTAAATGCTGTCAATGGTCTCAGATGTTGAAAGCAGTTTAAATAAAGTTTTATCACATAAGCCCGGTAGTGTAGTGGATTACAAGATGGGCTGCTAACTGCAAGGTCCATAGTTCAAATCGACCAGTCCCTCAGCAGGAACAAGATGATGCTTTCTGCTCCTGTTAAGACTTACAGCCTCGGAAACCCTATACAGAGTTGCTATGAGTTGGAACTGACTCCACGGCACACAACCACCACCACCAAGATTTATATTAGTTTCTTAATTTGGACCTTGTACTATATGTTAAGGTAGACACTATTTTTTAGAATCTTAAAATAAGTCCTCAGTGAATCTGTGAGTAAATAAATAGTGGAAATCTGTGTGAGTATTATAGAAATCCAAATTGGAAAAGGAGCTATTGATTGTGCTGAGAGCAGTCACAGTTGATCATAGGTGGCATTAGTTAAGTCATAAAAACAAGGACTTGCTTGATAAAGGGAGGGCTTTCCAGGAGGGAAAACAGCAGTAGTACAGGAACTGAGGCACTAAATGTCTTAGTTTATCCTGTGATTTTATAAATACGAGGGAGTTTCAAATAGTTCATGGAAAAATCCCAGTAAAATGCATGGTTTCATGAACCTTCTGAAGCTCCTCAGACAATGTGGGAAGCATCTTAGATGGCTGCTCCCAAACTTTTAAGACCCCAGTCACTATTAAGCAAAGAAAGACAGTCGTCTTTGTGAACTGTGTTATGCCTGCTGATGTAGGTGTCCCCTGAGACTATGCTCCTATGTGAATTAATGGCTAGGAAGGATCTAGAATGGTTGCCACATTATACTTAATCCAAGGAGAGAGACTACATATTGTTTTAACGGACCTGAATTTTTGTTCTAAATTTTAAAGAATTGTCAAAACAAATTAAAACTTAAATTGATCAGAATTGATTTTGGAAAGGTATTTCTGACATTTGTGGGGGTAACAGATTGAAAGAGGCACGGTGGTAGTGAAAAGTGGGAACAAGAATCTCCAGGTTAGAAGACCAATTAAGAAATGCTCCACAGGATTTTTCACTGGTTAGTTTGTTGGAAGTGGGTTGTCTTCTTTTAAAGTATGTAATAGTATCCTCCTTTTTAGTTGTAGTGCCTTGCTTTTGGGTTCACAAATAAGTCCTCAGTTAATCTGTGAATAAATAAGTAATAGAAAGTTTTGTGAATGTGTAAAGTAATGCAGAGAAGTACATTAACCTTTGTACCACCCCGGACTCCCAGTAGGGAGAGTTATTAAAGGTCTGTAACAGGAGTCCTGGTGTGGTGCTGTGGGCTAATGCATCAGACTGCAAAGTCATTTAAACTGCAAGGTCGTTGGTTCAAGCTTACCAGCTGCTCCTTGAAAACCCTATACAGGGTCTCTATGGGTCAGAATTGACTCGAGTGTACTTAACAACAACAACAAGGAAAAGGAATTAGAGATAAAAATGAGAAAATGGATTTTTGGGAAAGCTACAGGGAAGGGAATGGTCCAGATCCAATGACTTGTTGGACATTGTGCCACAAATTGATTCCAACTCACGGTGATCCCATGTTGTAGAGTAAGTACTTCGCAATAGGATTCTCAAGGCTCTGACCTCTCAGAAGCAGATCACCAGTACTGTCCTCCAAATATGCCCTTTGGAGATGTAAATTTTATATATGCCTGAGTGAGTGTGTCTATTTGTTTGTTTTTAAAAAGCTAAACTGGATAGAGAGAAATGCTGTTAACTGATGGTTTATGGAGGGGATTGTAATCATTGTAATGAAACAAGGTGTATGATTTGTTGAATGTGAAACTGATGATATGCCCTGTAAACTTTCACTCAATCCACAATAAAAACCTTAAATTAAAAAAAAAAAAAAAAAAACGTTGCCTCTGGGTGGGTTCAGACCACCAACCTTTCAGCTAGCAGTTAAGCACTTAACCATTTGCATCACCCAGAGACTACCAGGGAAAGACTAGTAAATGAAATACTTGATGACTGAAGTTTCTGTATCAGTTATCCAAGAAAAGATGACCTATAAATACTTTAATCTTGACAAGGAAGCAAAATTTGGAGATTTAAGAATGATTAGCTTCTATATGATAATTAAAACTTTAGTAGTTGATAATAACCATCCTTGGAGAGTGTATAGCTAGAAGAGAAGGCAGTGATCTAAGTGACAGAAACATTTGCTGATTACTGTGAAAACAGTGGAGGAGTCTCTAATACTAAATCAGGAATAGTAGTATGAATATTGCTGGGCCAGGGAGAGTTAGGAGTGCTGTTGTCTGACTCTAAAGGAAGTTCATGTTGGCTGAGAACTGAAGGAGGGGTTCAGGTTTGGCAAATAGAAGTTCTTCGGGAACATTTTTGGGAAAGGTTTTTCCATTTTTATTTTTAGGAAAGAATGATCTGAGCACCTTGTGGGCTAATGGAAATAAAAGTTCAAGTGGTGGAAGGTATGGGACAAAGGCTGGCGGGACAGAAGAAGTGTTACAGATGGGGGAGTCATGGATCAGCTAGCTTTTAATTACCTGGTAGTCTGACTTTCCATCAAGTGTGTACTATACTTCCAGATCGGTCTTCTTTCAGAAACTCCTCACAAAGGTTATGTGTCACTAACAGGCTGTATTCTTTAATTCTACTTCTTTATACTGTTTCCCTTCTCTACACCTGCTTTTTCATTCTCCTCCAAATGTTTCTTCTGAGGAGTCATCAGTCATTCTATTCTGGTTAGCAACTTTTCATGTTCTCCAGTAAACCAGCAGGTAAGGAACCATTTCTGCACCTTGACACGGTCTCAAACAGAGACACCATCAACTTTACAAGCTCATAACCTATAGACATGTTATCATTGTTTTCCTGGTCTGCACAGCTGTAAGAATGCTCAGATTTCCCTTGGCAAACTGCTAGAGGGGAGAGCCTGTTAAATGACTGTTGGTATTCTCATCCTGTGTCATTGTACAGTATTTGGAATTATTTTCTAGGTATGAACAAGCAATAATTAGTGCTGGATTTTAGCTGTCTTACCATCAAGTAGGAGCTACTCCTCAGAATGCTATACAGTGTAACTATTGAGTCGGAATCAACTCAACCACACTTAACAACAACAACCAGCAAGTGAAGACCCCTATCAGTTTTCAAAAGCATTTTAAATAGCTACTGATTTCCTTTGAAGAAGTAGGTGTTACTGCTAAAATTACATGCATACGTGTGTGTCTCGATAGGGTATATTTACAAAAAGAATGACTATCATAACTCTTTGACATTTCTAAACTTTCAGAGAAAATGATCAATTTTAAATACCTTCTTTATTTTCAGTCTAATGACAGAATGGCGTTTTTCTCGTGGAGTACAAGAACAGACCAAAGCTTTTCTTGATGGTTTTAATGAAGTTGTTCCCCTTCAATGGCTGCAGTACTTTGATGAAAAAGAATTGGAGGTTAGGCTCTTTTATTATGCTGTTGTTCAGGGGGGAAGGGGTGGGTTTTTGTGCTTTTTTCAGAATTATATTCACACATTTTTAAATCAAGTGGCACAATCTTGAACTGTCTCATTCAATCAGATGTTTAGATGATATTAAAATTCTAGCACTAATTCTAGTCTTGATTAAGTTCTCTAAGTCACGTTGGCATCATGGGCACAAAATCATCAGTCATTGCCAACTGTTAGGGTTCATTACGAGTGAGTGAGACCTTATTGAGGTAATATGATTCTGAGAATGTTCTGAAATCCCAGTTCAGTTGTCAGTTGCCTCAAAGATCAGCATTTTTATTTGGACTTGTTAGGAGTTCTGGTGTGGCAATGTGTGTTAATGCGCTGGACTGCAAAGTCAGTTTGAATCACAAGACCAACGGTTCAAGCTCACCAACCACTCCTCAGGAACCCTATACAGGGTCACTATGGGTTGGAACTGACTCATCGGCACTTAACATCAACAACAACAGGAATACATCGAGAATCCTTTGGGTATTCTTTTTCCTCATAAATGAGAACATAAGCAGGACATTAGATTAGTTCTTGACATTGCCTCTTGGCCCCCTTTGGGTGCAATATTTCCACGTTAGTCATTTGGTTTATTCATTTAATCAAATATGTAATAGAAAGAAGTAATATTTAAAATTGCATATAGTAATATTCTTATGTAGAAATTTGCCTTCTGGCAACTCTGACCAAAAAGTATTCTGAACCTTGCATGCAGCCTCTCCCTAAATATGGTTAATATCTCTTCAGTAGCTTGTTTATACAAATTAGCAAAAACACATTAGAAGAATAGTTTTGCAATGTATCGAATATTTTCCTCCTGAGATTTGAAGCAGGCTAAAAATGTGAATTTGCAATAATTCTTTTCATACCAGAAGCCCATAAGCTACTGCTGTAAGGTTTTTTAAAAAAATGGCACAGGGAGGGGGCAGAAAACACCTAGACTGGAAAGATAGACCATTTTTATTCTTATATGACAACATGACTGGCAGAAAACTCAGAAATCTATCCAAAAACTACTAAAAATAGTTTAAGAAGACTGAGGTTGCAGGGTACAAGGTCAAATAATAAAAAATCATTGTATTTCTATATCTTAGAAAAACTTGAAATTTTTAAGTACCTTTGCTAAAGCATCAGAAAACAAGTATAGCAAAAGACATGTAAGACGATGCTACTAAAAATACTGCTCAGAACAAAGAAGAGCTCTGAATATATGTAGAGGTCAATTTGAACTGCAAGGTCAGCAGTTCAAACTCACCAGCTGCTCCTCAGAAACCCAATACAAGGTCTCTCTGAGTCGGAACCAACTCCACAGCACTTAACAACAACATACCGTGCTCTGGATTGGAAGCCCTGGTATGGTGCTGTAGGATAAACACTGGTGGACAACAAGGTTGCTTTGAAGCGCAAGGTGGAGGTTTAAATGCACCAGCTTCTCCTTGGAAACTCCATACAGGGTCACTATGAGTCAGAACCAACAACAATGGATTGGAAGACTCAGTATTGTTAAAGATGTCAGTTTTCTTCAGTACTTCCCAAATAGTTTCAACATGATGTCAATCAACGACCCAGTAAATTTTTTATAGAAATTGGCAAACTGATATAATTTTTTCTTAACAAACAAAAAAAGTTTCTAGAATAACTACTTTGTCAAAAGAACAAATTTGAAGGCTCTACACTACCTAATTTCAAGACTTATTATAAAGCCATAGTAATTAAGATAGTGTGGTATTTGTGAAAAGACAGACAAATATATCAGTGTAATAGAAGTAAGTCCAGAAATCATACCTACATTTGTTGTAGTTAAGTGCTGTCACTATCAATTGATTTTTAACAAAGGTGTTAAGATTTCACTGGGGAAAAGTAAAGTCTTTTCAACCAGTGGTGCTGGACAGCAGCCTTATGGAGGAAAATGAACCTTGATAAACAGACAGAGAAAGAAAAAGGAAGAAAATAAATTGCAATAATAGTGTTCAGAATACGAGGGAACTTCAGAAAGTTCATGAGAAATCCATTCAGTCCTCTCAGATACTCTAAAAAAAATTTTAAAAAATCCTATAAATAGAAACTGTATTTTTTAAAAATGGGCAGAGATGTGAATAAACATTTCACAAAAGAAAATATACTGATAGCAAATAAGCACATGAAAAGATACTCAACAGCATTAGTCACTGGGGAAATGCCAATTAAAACTAAATGAGGTAACCACTTTGGGATAGTACTGGTCATTTCTTATCAATTTAAACTTTAAGACTTAACAGTTGTCATTTTTAGGTATGAGGGGGCTTTAAACAATTCATGGAAAAATTGAATTAAAAGATAATTGGAAGTTTTCCCATTAACTTTTTTAAGCGCCCAAAAGAAATGAGAGCATTTGGTCACACAAAGACTTACCCATTAATGTTTGCAACAAATTTAATTATAAAAACCAAAAATTGGAAGTAGCCTAAATCAACAAATAAATGGGTAAAAAAGTTGTGTATTCATATACTGGACTACTACTTAGCCACATGAAAGAACAAACTACTGTTAAATGCAACACCATGGATGAATCTCAAAAACAGGCGTAGTGGGGGAAACAGAAAAGTGTGTGCACTCATGCATACATGTGCATGGTGTGAGTGGCAGTGTAAGTGCTGTCAAGCCAGTTCTGACTCAGAACTGTGTTAGTGACTTAGTATATAGCATTTCCAAGGAGTGGGTGGTGAGTTTGAATCACCAACCATATGGTTACCAGTCCAGTACTTATCCTACACCACCACTTGTACACAGATACATATACTAAGTCCAAAAGTATTGCTACAAAATCGAAGCCATTTTTATTAAAAACACCAGAATGTAAAGTTTTGGTTTCTTGATAAATCCTTTTAGGTCTTACACACTTCTGGAGGCAGTCTTTCCATCTCTCTAACCTTTCCCCCAAAGGATTCTGTGCTCTTTGATTTATGTCACATCAAAATGGCAGTTTGACCATCCTTGAAGAACTCAAATCATAGTCCTTTGAAATGTTCTAAGTTGTAAGATGAAGGGGCAAGATCAGGGCTCGTTGGATTTCTCAAGGAAATTCTCATAGGACAACCTTTGCCACCCTTGAAGACTAAGCAGCTGTATTGTTATGATTAGAAAAAACAATTATTCAATGCAACTTTCCTGCTCTGTTCTCAATGATGTGGGTTTTGG